GATTAAATTCAGGAATAAGTATAACACTTAGAGAATCCTTACAAAATTTCGAGACCTGCATAGAAACTCATATTCGTCTCGAACGTTCGTCGGCTGATGGTTCGTTAGCGGTAGGCTACGGGGGCCATTGAGGTTTGTTCAGTAAATCTGTGCCAGAGGCAGTGAAGCGGTGGTGAATCGTTTACACATTAATGTTTCTCCGCAAACTTAGAAGAATTTTTATTTTACCAACTGATACTTCCTGACTTGCAAGTTTTTTCACTGTGCCTGGTTGGAGACACTACAGGATATGGCTGCCAACCGATGTCAGTGGCGTTCTTGTTGTCAGTTTCTGTCCAGATTGCCTGAGTGAATGTCTGGAGGTGTAGGCACCTCGGAATGATTGTGTTAAGCTAGCACTAAGTCCCTCCCCCATCCACCTTTATTCTTTTCTTTACAATAAGGCTTTCAAATAAGTCATGGCTGTACGGCAGTGAAGCATTGGTGTTGAGCACTGATGTCATGCTGTTGTTGATGATTGATGATGATGATGATTGCCGTTTTCATTCGATGGTGTTAAGGCGATTACGAACCAATGTATTATTTATTCAGAATTGAAGCCCCGTTTCCTCAATCACCCTTTTGGCTATTATATTAAGGCTCCACAACCGTTTGAACGCGTCAGCATCGATTTTAAAGGCCCACTTCCATCCACTTCCCACGACAAATACCTTTTAACGATGATCGACAAGTACTCCCGTTTCTTATTCGCCTTTGTGTGTACTGTGTCCTCATCCATCGTGGTCAAGCTTTTTAGTCAGTTGTCTCTGTTCGGATTGCCCTCATAAGTCCATTCTGACCGTGGTGGCACTTTCATGTCAGGCAAAGTACAAAAGTTTCTTCACAACGGGGGTGTGGCAACCAGTCAAAATACCCTATACAATCCACGCGGTAACGGACAAGTTGAATGGCTTAATGGTACTCTTTCGAAGTCTATAACTCTGGTATTGGAGACCCAACAACGGGACGTTACCGATTGGGAATGCGTGTTTCTAGATGCGTTGCACTCTGTTCACCCCTTATTATGCACCGCTACTAACACAACACCATACGGAAGATTTTTTAACTTCCGTTGGAGGTCAACGTATGGCACCCCTCTTCCTTCTTGGTTATCGATTCCAGGCCCCATTCTGTTAAAAAGGATGACACGTTCTTCCAAATACGATCCGTTAGTGGAGGTGGTGGAACTTATTAATTGAAACCAGCAGTGTGTCTGCGTTCGTTTCCCGAACGGAAAAGGAGAAACTGTTTCCCTTATATATCTGGCACCCAAAGCACAAAATATCTTCGTTGTCTGTTTAACTGAATCAATCGAAGGTTTGGCTGCTTCTCAAGACGAGACTCAATCACACTCGATTGATCCACTTAGAGGCGAAACGGCACCACTAGAACAACTCAGGGAAATTCCAGAGAATGTTCTGCAGTATATCACTGGCAAACAACGTGTTAGACCATATAATCTTCGGAATCGCGAAGCCTGCTCTATATTTTGCTGATAATAACCCTACCAGCGGAGAAGAATGTTATATACGAATGTGTTAAACTGTTTACTTACTATTCATTGAACCAACTGTGCTTTTGAATGTTTCAGCTGATGTACTGAAATTGTTAGAGGATTTAAGCCTATCACTTGGCAGTCTTCATTCTCTATTTCTGACTCAATCATTCGACCATGCCGTACTGCGTACACGCCCGACAGCTCGCTTCTCTTTACGTCCTCGCAAATTAGAAAGAAACACGTCAATCCACTATCTTCGAAGAACTACCATAGCCTAACATTATCGATCTAAGCTAGCCCGACATTTCTCCACAGTAAACCGATACTGTGGTGGCAGTGAGCATGTGGATGAAGCGCGGCAGAATGTTAAAGGAGCTATGTTGGCGGCGTTTAGTGCCATCTGTTCGACTTCTCTGATTCGACCACAAGACCATTGGATGTCGTCGAGATCGCTAGCCGTGATTGGTGCAGGGAAATCCCTACCAGCTGGCAACGGATACGACGGCGCACCCAACTCTATCAAATGTCAAGTAGTGAAGAGTGTAAGGAAAGACCGAGAGCTCTGGTGGACATTGAAAGCTCGGGAGATGGAGAAGACTCTTGCTGCGGCAGTAAGCTGCGACTTATATTAACTGATACGATCAATTGGCCCTGAGAAATCGACGGTCAGCGAAACTATACGAGAAAGATGGCTCATTAATTCATTCGCAAAAACGTCGACTGGAAAGATGGGCCTCCTGGCCTCCTGCAACAGCCTGTAGAGATAATGCACACGGGCTAAGGGAATATAAACCTTGATCGCCCTTCGGAAGAACAAATAAAGTACGAAATATCCGTACTGAAATCCGAGAAGGCACCAGGACCGGGCGGTCTGTATCCAGTTTCCTTTAAGGAACGTGGATCATCTCAGGTGACCCATCTGACAAGGCTTATTGGTGCCATATGGAACAAATAAAAAGAACCTGCAGAATGGGGCGTGTCAACAGCTATTACTATCTTTAAAAAGGGTACGCGGACGCTGTGTGAAAACCGCCATGGCATCAGCCTGTTAGCTGTGGCATCCAATGTTGTCTCTGGCTTTATCCTTCGAAGGTTGACCGAACACAGGGAGAGACAGATCCGTGAAAACCAAGCTCAGTTCCGTCCAGCTATCCGTCCCCTATCTAGGCTTGGGTGACCTGGCAGTATCCCAGCCCTCGTGCTGGACAACACACCTCGCGGTAGTGCAAACAATATTAAATAATCTGAATAATTCCGCCTCATGGCTTGGCATGCGCTTCACACCTGCAAAGTGTGAAGTGCTACTGAAAGACTGGGTGACCTCGAACCCTAGCCTCATGCTTGTGGCTGAACCGATTGAGGTAGTAGGCAAATTTGCTTACCTGCGCGACGGTATCATTCCCGGTGGTCTCGCGAAAGATGACATTTCTATCCGGATTGGGAAGACCAGAGCAGCTTTCTTGAACCTGCGTCACCTGTGGTGTGGACATGACATCAGTTGTCCGTCGAGGATCGAGTTTACAATGCTGCGGTGCACTTTATGGATCAGAAACCTGGCCGTTGCGCGCCGAGGACGTCAAAAGACTAACTGTTTGATGATCGGTTTCTTCGGGGCATTGCCCGAGTCTGGTGGGGGGGGGGCAATGCTGAAGTAAGTCGAATGGTATTCGGAAGAAATAACTCGATAGATGAACTGACCACATTGCACGGGTTGCGCTGGCTTGGCCACATGGTGCGGATGCTAGTCGACCGGCTTCCTCGAAGGGTTCTTTTCGCACAACCACGTGAAGGGTGGAGATGAGCCAGAGGCGGTCAAACAATGACTTTGCAGCGAAGTGTGAAAGCCACTACCAGCAAACTCAGCTGCGCTGGTCATCGCCGTCTTCCTGGATGGGAACTCGAGACGGGTCATATCAATGGTTGGAGACATTGCCAGACATACCACTCGCGCCCTCAATGGCGCTTGTGCATCTAAGCTATTCCGTTCAGTGCACAGTTCCTTCCCCAACCCTCCACTAAACAGTCCACTGGCAGCGCTGTATGTACGCACCAATCCATCAGCTCCTGCCTCCAATGTGCAGCTATCTACCCCCCCTACAAATCTTCGGCGAACGAAACCGTGGCAGCTAAAACCACTGTGCGACAAGTGCGCGGTTCTTGCAGCTGCAGCGGAAGCCGATAATGATGATGATGCATATCCAAGAGCATCATTTTTGTACTTTGTGGGTGCAAAGTGCGTACCAAAGGACTTTGGCTACTTCACACGAAATGCCTGCGCCTTCTTCCGCTTTTCGAAGACGAGAAAAATTTCGTCTGCACATTCCAGATCAACGAGGTTTTCGTCACTGGCTATTCGAACAGCGGGATTTTGAAGACCTTCCAGCGTTTGTCTCATGATTTCATCGGTCACGAATTGAATTGGGAATGGAGAGGTTGGTCACCTGTGACGGACATCGCTGTGTGCTGAAGCTTTTGGAGATCTCTCAGTATACTCTCACATGTCCAGAAGTTTGAGAATGCAAAGAACTTATTATTTCACGAACTGCTGGGCAAGCGTGTTAAGGACGACAGACCCCTGCCAAACGCTTTTATGTATGGCGGAGTGTGAAGATTTAGTCAAATCAACTCCTACCAGGCCGGATTCCCGTGTCAGTGCTTCGCGAGCCACCACACGCCGATGAAGCACAGGTGACTCCAAGAGGGTCGGAACCATGGGTGAAGCTGATCGGGTGAAGCTATCCTCTTGAGATTGCCTCACTGACTACGGTCCTCTTCTTTGAAAACGGTCACCCCAAACCGACTCCCCACAGTTGTCTGTGACAGCCCAGATTGAGGCCAATAGACGAGAAAAGCTCTGACTGAGGACCTCACCTCCATCCTTTAACAATGTTGGTGGATGGTCTTTCGGACCTGGATTTCTGGGGCGCTTGAGAGAACATATGCAATCGTAAATGTTCCGGGTTTCAGGTTACCTCGTATCCACGTTAGAAATAGCCACCCACGACACATTTCTGCATGAGTTGACGGTGAATGTACGACTAATTATCAATAGTCAGTGAAACTGCGAGTTGGTAAGAAGATAGACTGCAGCCGATTAACCTGGATGTTTGGAGTGGTAGGAATATCTTCTCAGGTAAATAACACGGCGATCTTAAGGATAAACTTGAGGAGTCTGAAGTCGCTCATCCAGTATTTTGTGGCATGATCGGGTTGCGGAAAACATGGGGTTAAATGTGATACACTGCCTACCAAGTAGAGTACATGTACGACATAGCGTGCGCACCGAGCGTCCAGAATTCTCAAGCAGCTTATATCGTTTGCAGTTGACCCGAGATCGGTTAACTTTACACGTTCCTACAAAACCACAGTAGAAAACACTCCTAATCAGGGGCACTTTGGTTATTCTCTTTGGTGTCTTCTTTTTGATAATTTTCACGATTTTCCCTCGTTTTCAGTTTTTGGAATGGTCAGTTCAACCGAAGTGTGTATCTCCGAGGAGGAAGCTGCATTGTATGATCGGCAGCTACGCCTGTGGGGTGTCGAGGCCCAAAATCGACTGAAGCGGTCACGGATTCTTCTGTTAGGCATGACGCCTCTTGCTGCTGAGTTAGCAAAAAATCTAGTCCTTGTGGGCATTCAGAGTCTCACAGTTGTAGATGATGTTTTAGCTACAGAAGAGGATGTTTCGTGCAACTTTCTGATTCCATGTGAAGCTGTTGGAAAACCGGTAATTGCTCCCATTCCCGCTGATTATTCTCTGAAGCGTTCCACTGCTGCACTACCACGCATTCAAGCCCTTAACTCAATGGTTCGTGTATCAGCGCTCTCAGCTGGCTGCAATAACCCAATACAAGAAGGTCACACCTATGATGTCGTAATCCTCACATCCAGTTGTCTGGAGAGCGATATTTCAAACTGGATTGCCCTAAAGAACAACCTACGCAAAAGTACTGGTCAAGTGCCTGGAGCCCATATTGTACTTGCTTCCACAATGGCTTTTTTCGGCGTCGCTTTTCTGGACCTCGGCTACCATGAATTCATGGCGTAGGTTGAGTTCATGTGGAATTTTGGCAATTAAAATAGCTCTTCGACGTGGCGAACTAAAAGTTAATGTAATTACCTTTCCAAGCGCTCTCAACGTTTACGAGGTATTGATTCTTGCTGTTCCACTGTTTCATTCGATCACTCAGCTATTTTTAGATGACATGGTTTACGTTCTCACCGCATGGATTGCTGTGAAAGTTGGACATCAACCGTTTATTTCAAAGGGAATTAACCAAGTAGTTAGTTTCTGGTATGTTCCCACAGCTAATGCGCGTCTGTACATTAAGCTTGGCTTATACACCGGGAAATCACTGAGAGTGTTGTGTTTTCATTCTTTCGCTCGGTCAGTTTTTCCGTGGTTTCTGCATTACGAATGACTTTCCTCGTATTTTGGCATCAATGTTGACGTCTGTCCGTCCTTAGGACGGTTCTTTCCACAACTGGAGGAGTTTAAGGGCATTTCAAGCGTTCTTCTATTTAGCACTGGTGTTTCCCCTAATGCAGCTGTCGTCTTACCTCTGCATTTAATGAGTGTTTATCGAAGGAGTTAACTCCACTTCATGACGCTTAAACACTTGGTGGATGTAATACTGTACCCCTCATGTAGACATATTCAAGCCTCTCTCCTTTGACTCAAGCTATTTTTAACTGGGTTGTTTGGGGTTTTGTCTGCGGTAACAAAGTATTCATGGTAACCGTACCTGGAAAAGTGACGATCGCCTCACGTTTTTGGTAACAGTATCCTTCTGCGTTCAAACATACTGTTGATGTTGTTGTCTCACAAGGTGTTTGCGGTTATAAGCTACTCCATCACGTCGATTTTCTGATTTTAGAGAGGAAGTGCTACCAAAGAAACGTCCTGCTCCCTCCGCGACTGGGGTGAAGAAATCTCAAGCCGCTTCTGGAACTGAGTCTACTTTCGTTAAGAAAGTGAGTGTTTTTTGGCCTTACTAATTCCCTATTAATGAGAAGGGGGAAATCCAAGACTTCACGAATTGTGGGATTCAAATCGCACATATTTCACTCGCGAACGAAGAACGTCAGCCGGCTAAAAATCGTTCCGTTGTGGCACCCTTTCGATGCCTAGCTGACATGCCAACGGAAGGAATCACAAGAGCTGGAATACTGCCTAGACAGTAGCAATCAAGATACTAATGTTGGGCTCGAACCAGGGACGTCAGCCGGTAAAAATCGTTCCGTTGTGGCACCCTTTCGATGCCTAGCTGACATGCCAACGGAAGGAATCACGAGAGCTGGAATACTGCCTAGACAGTAGCAATCAAGATACTAATGTTGGGCTCGAACCAGGGACATACTGTTCCGTAAGCTGACGCCTTGACCACTGTGCTATCTGGAGCAGCCGGCCAACAACCCTGCTGCCTATAGATGAACGGTTTGCAGCATATGTCCATTATAACTTAATGCGCAATGATTTACGGTTTCTTAGCAGATGCGTCACAAGAGAAACTGATCGGCAAATTCTTCCCCCGGTGTTTCGTTAGCTTGACACTTGGTTTGTCGTACAGTATTCCGTATCGTTCAAAACGTCACTGTATTGATGTTACGGATCATTATCTCGTCCTCACGCTTAGGATAACTGACACTTTTCGGTGCACCTGACTGTATCTTCCCTCTCCTGTTCATCGTTTCTTACGGCAGCATAACTCACCTGCACTTAGCAATGCACTCGGCTCTATGCTGGCCTTCTGTGTCGACCTTTGCTCTGAGTTCAGTGTTCTTGGCAGAAGAAGGTGTTCTGGATGCCAACTAATCATACCCCCATGGGGAAAATGTGGTGAAATACGGCTCATTTTGGGCTATCAATACTACCCTGTCGTTTGTATGAAACACTTGGTCGGCCGAGTCGGCGGTAATTGATCACGTGCTTTCAGCCTCTTACGAACGGGTCATTATTAGTTTAGTGGGTGCAGACTGTCCATCCAAAAAGCTTGCTATAGTCCCCACCTGTCCGTTCACCGACAGGCTTTGTGTGGCTGGCTCTTTCACTAAAACTACATGATTGCCTTCCCTAAACTGTGATCAAAGCGGTATCTGGTACTTTACGATCTGTTTTGTTATAAGGGTCTAGCATATCTTTTACAAGTGTCCTTTGATCTACCGGCTGTGAGAACACTGCTGCTCGACTTTCCCCTTGATGGCCGATGATTAGTTCAGATAAGCCTAAAGCCCAAGGATAGTGCGGTTACCAAGGGTAATTTTTAGCCAATAACCAAGAATTGCCGTGTGGATCTGATTCACCACCCACCTGAGGGTGGTTGCTGGTCACCCATTTCTGTTGGCCAAATGAGGACCAGTTGCCTCGCGGTTTCGGGACCCGGTCATAACTCTCTTGGCCATTGGCGTGACAATAACGTATCCATTACAAGAGTGGGTGAGTGGCGGATTAACAAGCTGATTATTCACGAGCAGCAAATTTATTAATTGGTTCATGTAATATCTGTACTCCTGCAATTCCGTTTGTTTCCGGGCGCAGCGGTACACCTATAACCCGGGCTTTACACACATGCATTCACCTGTTACCACCACACCAATGACCCTGTGAGTTGAACAGTGCTGTCATTTTACCGAAGCGACGTCGAATACATCTACTCGAACTTCCTGATCTTTTTTTATCCCTTTGCCTCATACAAGGTCGCACGGTACTCCGATTTACAAGACTGTCTAGATATGACGTGGAGCAGCACGGGTACATGCCCATCTCTCAGTCCGAAATCCATGCCCAAAGGATTTCTCCTTTTGGAAGGTAAGTTGTTGCTGGTTACACTGAGAACTTCAGCCGAAAACTGACGGACACATTTTCTCATTGATACTACTATTATTTGATATCATCTTGGAAATCGAAGTAACCCTTACAAGACTCTATTCCGTAATTTTTTCGTCCCAGCATTTTTGTGAGATGTTTCGATAAAATCCTTCGGATGATCTGACGAACCCTAAAGATTTTGTAGGACTATGGAGGTGCCCCGATGACAAATTAAGGTATTCAAAAGGATGTTTCATTTTCTGTCCTGAAACACGAAGTATCGCGCATCCCTCAGGACGTCTTTACTTGACATCTACTGGTCTTTAGACTCTTACTTAGACACTAAGTTTACCATTGGGTCAGCCCCATTGTCATGTTTAGGGAAGCGGAGCTGGAGCATCAGTGCCACTGGTCATGTTATCCTCGTTACTCGTTATCACTGAATTCAACTCTGATTGCAATAGATACCTCCAGTTAACTCTAGCTTTCTGTTGCCTTTCTTAAGAATGTCCTGATTTGATGTTGCTACCCTTAAGTTTTTCATGCGTCAGCCTGCAATCAATTTAGGATATCGTGTAGAGCAGGAACGTTTATTACACAAATGTGGATTATAGTGGAAAGAAGGACCCATGATCAGAGACCCTCCGTGAAAGCGATGTAATGCAATACAAAACCATACACAAGTAATTGGAGTCTATATGATTTAGGAAAGAAAGAGACTAGCAGAATCCGGCTGTTCTTGGAAAAGGATGAAAAGGCAGCAGTTCCACAATCTACAATAGTAACTTGATCTGTGAGCAAGGACGTGTCGTTCGATTGAGGACTATTGGCAGAAGGAGCAGGCTCCGGCGAACATTCTTCTTGGTAGTGATTATCGAATGAATCAAGAGACACTACTTCCTGGCGGTGAAAGTGTTTGCATGTTGTCGGTCGGTGAAGAAATACTGATGAGGCTAGCAATTTTGTCTTGAATAGAATCGGGAATAAGCAAGTAAAAAAAAGGAGTTCCACCCGAAAACATGAGAGGTAACATAACCAATAGTTGTTCAACTGCAACACTCTCGATGTATAGCTGTCATAGCACCTTAAGGAAGCACGGGGTCTGAGATGCCGCCAGGCCGCCCAAGCCTAGATAGGCGCAGTAGAGATGTCGGGGTTGGGTTCCAACAGCGGAGATTCCAGACACTAAGTTCGCACCTTAACCACTGAGCTGTCTTGAGCCCGGTAATATGAGTGATTTTCGGTTGGCTTATTTGGATGGGCGAAAACGATGACCAGGTAAGTCGCTTGTCGTATCCCAGCAACCACCATATTTCTGGTCTATAGTCTGAGTGCTCGGCAACACCGAAATTGAAGTACTGTTCAACGAATCCAAAAAACTGCAAATGTGAATGGTTGTAGTCAGTGTGGACCCGGTTTGAACACGGGGATGTCAGTGGATACCAACTACTGTGGTATAGAGTTTGGTTTGATTTGTTGGCCGACGGTTAACTATCGGCTAAATGGCAATACCTTTTGATGTGTAGTCTTTATGCAGGTAATCATTACTTGCCCATCCATCACCTTGCAGTTACCCAGTCTCTCTGTTTTCCTCGGTTCACAGTCCTTCGTCGATGCACGATTGCAGATCTTCCTCTTAATGTCGAATTTCTGAAATCGGTATGGACTTCAGTTTCAGCGACACTCGGAGTTGATTCAGGGTTTTTATCCGACGAAGAGTTTGCGTAAGTGACCCTTTTTTTTTAGCTAACACAGTGTCTTTGTTGTATGTGACCCATTTCACTTTTACGCGTTTTTTTTCAGCCGGCTTTGTTAGCCGAATTTGTAATCGGCTGCGTGATTTACAGAATTCACGTTCACATCACTCATCTCAACAGTTCACACCCTTTTGGTGTGAACTCATCAGCATAATTGTCCCAGGACATATTCTGAACGAATACACTGCTTTCCGGGCGCTATTCCATGATCCTTTCTTATTTTTCATCGCAGTTGCTGTTGTGGTGCACCGTCGCCCTCCGTTAATGCAGTACTCGGTGGCGTAGTGGCGCAGGAGATTGTTCGGGTACGTTAGTTAGTTAGGAATGTTTTTGTGAATTTTCTCGCACACCGTTCCTTACAAAACGAGACTTTCGCACACAGCCATTGCTACAGTCCTGGATCCACTGATCCTTTTCTTCTTAATTAGAACCTAACATGTCCGTTGAAGCCATTCAGTGTTTAATCACAGTAGCGACTTCTCATAGGGATGTTATCCTTTCTGACTAGGTTACCTAAATTTTGTAGACAATCAGATGCTTAAATTTCACATTGGGTTGTTATTCTGCCCGTGTGATAAATTTATTTGAAAGCTGTCCATGGATTGCATGCTGCGAAGGTGTTGGCCTCAGACCAATTAGGTGTGTGAGGATTTCTTAAATATCATGTTGACTGGGACCCGTCATCCACCTTGGAACGAATTCAGTACACGAGGTAACAGGTCGCTCGCGCTGCCATACAACTTCCAAACGTGTGGCGGTCTTGTGATTCGTCACTCCAACTCCCTGGTTGGGGTTGTCGATCTCCCGCTCATTAAACAAACACCACTGAAATTTTGCTACTATGCTTTCAAATTCCAAATCTCGTTCTGAGATGTGGGGCTAACTGGGCATGGTTTTCTCTCATCTGTCCTCCTCACCCAAAGGCCACTGTCCGACTCCGCCGTTGAATTTTATATCCTCGAAGAGTTCATTGTCAATAACTCTGAGTGGCTAGCTTTCTCATTCCATGCGGACGCAACTGTGATTTTTGCGGTTACCAAGTTTTTGTCCAAATTCGTTTCCTCTCTAATCCGAATTTCTGAATTTGACAGTGACTGACCGCGGGCCCTAGATCTTTTCTTAACCGCCCATACCTCACCGTATTCAATTGATCCCATACCCCATAAGCATTCCGGACCCCCTGTGTTATTAACCGTCAGCGTTTACTTTCCATCCCCTCTCACACAGTCTCCGGTTCTTGGTTCTACTTGTCTGTTGACCGAATTGGCACGCAACTGTTCTGAACCTGTCACTGCTATTGCTTCATCTCTCGAGCATCCTAATGATGCAATGTTCCAATTTGTACTCCATTTTTCTAAATCCGACAAACACTTATCCTGGAAGCGATTTACTTATTCATGCCCTCGAGCTGTCAGAAGAAAAAACCGGATGTATAAACGTTATCATTACTCCATTTCATCTCTTTCGGGTTCTGTCATCGATGCCGTTCCAGTACTACTATCATCGGGAAGGCTGCGTGTCTTCTGCTCGTAATCCCGCTCAGCTGTCCAATACGCCAACTGGGAATCTTGAAAATCAGCTGCTGGTGGTTTCCATTTTCTCTGCTGCACTTTTATTTCGGACTCCAGTGGAGATCTGAACGCGCTTCACCTCAAATCCTACCCTTTGCGTCTTCCAGCTCGCACCCAAACTACAATCCATCACCCACCGTCTCAGCTACAGCTGTTCGTCAGTGCATACATTTAACATCCGTACGAATGGTATCCCCCCGTTCCGCTCCGTATGTATTGCAGCGTTCGCTCTGACCACATCTCGTCCTTTCTTTTTTGTGTACTCCCATCTACGGAAGATTTCTTATATACCCCCACCTATTCCGTTGCGTTGATGTTTACCCGGCTCAGCCATCTTCAGCCCTCGATTTTGTTTAAATTTGTGGAATCATTTTCGTTTATCCAATTACTACAGCCTCTTGAGTAACCATCAATACGGATTCACGCGCCATCGCCACACTGTCCCCCATTCGGTGAAACCGGTTTTGTGTCTAGATGTCTCGAAGCCTTTTAATCGGCTATGGGACGATGACCAAACCGCCGAAGTCGCATCCTGATTGGAAAATTTTTGAAAACAGCCCGATTAAGACACGACCTGACGATGTTTCTGCGGTGACTTGGTCAACGCAGCTGTTCTTCAAGTTTCGGTCCGTTTCTCTACATTGTTCTTCCTGTTAACCAACGACCCTTTTCTGGTTACCTTGATCTTGTAGGTGAGGTAATTGCCCACATTTTCTACCCATTCTTTTAAAAAGACCTGCTCTCTGCTGGCGCCAACAGTATACTGAGAGCCAATCGCATAAATATTCACGTTTGCGACTCATTGAAGACAGCTGGATTCGATCCTACCGAATCCACACTTTCCCTTCACAGGCCCTTGTAAATATCCACCCATCCATTTTCGCCATTTTGGGATTTCCGTTCCACTGTAGAATTGTTGTCATTCAAGGTGTTACTTATTCTGTGTACTATGAATATAGCCTGTTAGCCGTTTTATTGCTACTACGGTAAATCCTGCAAGTTCTCCTTTACTATTGAATACTCACACATGTTTTCCGTTCCGTTAACTGCAGGCAATAACCGGAAAAGGTGCTCCCTACGGCAATTGGTATTTCTTTAACGGATTGCAGTGCTCTATGACGGTCGAATGGTTACCGAAAGAGGATATTTGTCCTGCACCAACCACAAATTCTGTATAAATAGATATATTCGTAACCCATTTCACATCAGATGTGTTCTTGTCTTTGAAAAAGGGGTGAAACCTCGTCGGAAGACAAGGGCGTACAACTTACAGTAAGAAATCTTTACTCGATCCAACGAAAGGCAGGACAATCTCGTAGTCTACCGAATTTCAGGCGATTGGCCACTTATTTAGCGAAAACTAACCTTATACAGATTTCTACAAGGATACCAAAAAATTCCCAGAAAACAGCATATCTTACTCGCTTTTTGAGTAGAATAGTACCGAACGAGTGAGTTAGACATCTCTAAGGCTTAAGTATGTAGTAAGCTAATGAAGCAATCATGTGTTCCTTTTGTCGACCGCTGGTGTCCGTTGGGAATGTTCACACTTCACGAGTGCGATTGATTGAAGCTCCACTGGTGAGAATAAACAATTTTCATATTATAGCTTAGTTCCTCCGCTCACCTGACTACGCTGGCTTAAGTGGTTACGTGCCGACAGCAGTCTTCCACCTAGGCTGTGACATTAAAAGACCGTTTCTCCTAACATCATTCTAACGGTACTCGATCTGTTTGGCAGAGCCTCGAGATACAGGTTTCAGATGTTAGCTGTTCCCTGCCATTATTCTTCTTTCTCCGGTGAGCGCAACCCGAAAGCACCCATGTTCATAACAAACAGAGCATGGCTATCCAACACAACCCAGTCTAGTTTCTCCTAAACTAGTAGTTGTTCAGTTGCAGTACCGTTTCGGTGCCTGGCTATAATGCTGCCCGGTGGAAGCACGAGCTGCCCAAGCTTAGGTAGGAGCAATCAAGATGCATGGGTTGGGTTTGGACCAGTGACCTTCCGGCTGGTAGCTTCACGCCTTGACCACTGACCTATCTCCAGTTACTTCCCTTGAACTATACCAGCGTATGTACCTAAATCCTATGTCTACTAAAATGATCAACCAGAGTGAAAATCACTTAAATTTTTGACGTTTCAATTTTATACACAAGACGGGTTCTGTACAAGTTTGACTTTGCATCAATATCAACCTTCATCACTATCATCATCTGGTAGCTGAAGTTCTTCGCGATTCCGATTTTTGGATACTCCAGACCAGTTCTCATCCTGATCGACCACCCGATTGTCGTCCTCGTCGCCTTGCAAGCTGTCCGCGTTGTCTGATTCACTTTCTGTTTCGGACGACTCATCAGAGTCTGCGTCTTCAGCTTTCGCTTTCTGCTTCCGACTCATTTGTTCAGCCCACCTGGCAGCCATACTCAGAAGCTTCTGATTTGGTTTTTCTGCATCTGTGTCAGGGAATATGTATTCCACGAATTCTTCCCAACCACTTCGCTCATCACCCAGTCGACGACTGCGAACAACTTTTTGAGGTTGGAGCTTGGCAATTTCCTTTTGAGATTCAGCGTCCCCGTATTCGTCCTTGAATGGAAGTAAATGTGCACAGAATGAGCAGAATACTAATAAAAAACACACTGCACCTTACTGTAGGAGGAATCATAAGGGATAGCTTGAAGGTCTATTCATCAATCGTTCGTCGATAAACATGTCATCAGGCCACAGCGATAGTATCATAACTTTATTAGGTGAAAGGGGAAAGAGGGAGCAGCCACGCAAGAAGACAACTGGGGTCAAATGTAGACTCAGATATGCAAACTCACCTCGAATTCTTTCCAGGCCTCCAATAATCTGACCCGTTGTTCTTTGTCCTCACAAGTTCGAAGGGCTTTGTTCGCCTCCCGGTAAACAGCTCGGGTCCGAAGTACACCTTTTTTAACTTCATTTTCATTGTGTTCTCGAATAATAGTTTCCTTGTCCACGTTGGCTGACTTCAAGTGGGCTTCTGCACCATCGTCAAGGTCATCCAATGTGAGTGTATTGTGCGCACACAGCTCAAAGTTAGCGAAGCTGATCCAAACCTGAATAGCAATCAAATGAAACACTGCGTTACTCCATATCCAAGGATCTTCAGGTGAGTGATTTTCTGTAGGACATAGAGAAGTACGATGGTGGGAAACCGGAGTTTATAAGATTCGGATCGGCGACGGTGAACTGAAAAACAACAGGTTTTGGCCTTCGCAAGATACAGAGGATTAGTTTCCGGAATCTTTAAAAACCTAGTTTGCAAACACGGACAAGCCATTAGGGAAACCAGATCCTAGTTGGATCTGTTTCAGGCGGGAAGTTCGGGATCACGCTGGAGTTTGATGAACAAACCATCTTGGGGCGCGTGTTTCCGATCACAAGTCCGGAGGTTTTGGTGTATTTTGTAAGCGATGTTAGTTTCTGGACATATGCAAGACACTAACAACCGCATTGAATTTGTCCCTAACTCCGGTTATTGTCTTGTTCCTATATTTCTTTAGATTGGCTACTGTTACAACCACCTAATTTCACATCGTCGCATTCGGTGGTTTCACTCGTATGATGCGGTCAATTAGTTGATAACAGTTGTGCTGGCAACTGCCTACCCACAAACCTGCTTCGTCCTGTCATCAGCTAATTCCAACTCACTATGACGCACCCACCGACATGCCATAGATCAGCGCCTATTTGCCTACTTCTCAGTGCTTGTTTTTTGACCTATTTCCAGTACTTTTGCCGAGCCATGCGCCTCAATAGATGACAAAGTTCACAAACTCAGAAAATCCTTAAACAGTTGGTAGGAAGCCCCATCTTGGGACTCGACACTGACGTTCACTGCAGAGGGTGCTCAGAAAGGCGTCCGTAGGTGTTGCGCGGAATAATAGGCCAACCATCTCTTACGACAAGCAACTAGGCGCTACCAACAGTCTGTAAGTTTGACGCGCACGTGGTTGGCCAAAAGATCTGGCCGCTGGCCGATCAAGTATCGGGCGATGTGGACTCAATAGCATCCGCTGAATGCCAGTTGCCAATCCCGCGTCCAGAGGACTCCGTTGTAAATGCGTTGTAACTTATTGATGGGCGTTTAGTACACTTTGGGTACCCTCGGTCAATCTGCTGAAAACACTAGCTTCGAAGTTTCAGAACTGAGACAGCCGTTGTTTTAATGAGATCTTTAGAGCAGAAACCAAAGTCATTAGGAAACACGTTCACTCCAGCAAAATACCCTTGATGATGCCTACAATATACTACAGTTGAGTGATCACTTTTTATGCTCAGACTAGGTTGATGAAAAAAATTGGACTGATCAGGCAGCTGATACTGCTTAGCGAAGCACTCGGATTCCACTGTTCGCCTGTCAACAGAATATGGGATCCTTCAACACCGACTTGTCTCCTGTCACTCAGTCACGAATATTTGGAACGATATGTATCGCAAAAGGTGGAAAACTCATGGTGTCCAAGGTGTACCATCCAACTTACAGAGGTTTGACATGACCCGGCACTCCAGTTTCCTGGGTTTGGTTGAAAGTCTTTCATTCAAGCAGCTACAAGGCTCACATACACTGGTGAACCTCTCAATGAGAAAGACTTTCAAGTGCATTTGTCAGTATACCCTACCAGTCAGTATTTTTGTAGGGGTCTCCAGACAATCTAGTCTCCGCTTTCTCACGATAACAAACAAGGATCGGAACCCATACAGGATTAGTATCTACGCTAAGCTGCGTCGCGCCCGAAATGAAAAAGCAAGAGAACCGGTGAGGGAAGTTTGTCTCACCTTTACATGTTGTGTGCGCTTCAACAGTCGCCGATATAAAGCACGTGCGCGTTCCCAGTCGTACTGTTCAATTTCAAAATCAATATAGGCTTTCCAAAGTAATTCAGGCATATCCAAGAGTGGCCGGTTGATAGCCAGCTCGTATATAGCACGGGCACGGTCGACTTCCCCGAGTAAACTTTCCAACTCTGCGTACTGAAAAGGAAAAACGACACGCAGTGCATGTAGCTAGAGACAGGGGATTCTATGAGAGCGTAAGAAGTAGTGACACAACATACAACTATCAGATTTACGTACAACATTTCAATCTCGTGCCAGTGGGACCCAGCATGTGTCATCCGTCCACTTGTGACACTGCATTCAGATGCCTTGGTGCAATCCGCCTACCTATCCACCTTAGGAACTACATCACTGACTAACAGACAAGGATCATTCGTCCCAAGTTGCCCACCTATTTTGGACGCTCATATCACAGGTGTTATTGGAGGAGCTAGTAATAAGCAAGTAGCTGGACTGATTGTATCGAGTCATGCCTTTCATACATCAAATAAACACGGTCATTCAGCGCACGTTAGGATTAGGTGGAAATGGATCACACCAGAGTTTAGCGAACTTCAGAAAAGCATTGCGAATTGATTATGCTCCCAAAGGAGGAAGTCGAACCAAAGGAGCAAGATCCTAAACAAGTTGAAGAGTTCAGTTTTCCAGTACAATCAATCTTGTGAATAGGCGATTTCAGAGGACCCAGAAAGACACGCATGATCACTGTCAGCAGCAGTAGCCAGAATACATTCAGATAGGTCTCATTCAGATGAATCATGCGCGTTCCCCATTTTACTGTGTTGTACTACACTTCAAAACAATCAAAAGCACTGAAGTAACCGTTTGCCCCACTTCCACGAGGGTAAAATCATCTGTCTTCACCTCTTGGAAGACGACCAGTCAGGGGGGACTTTACGCAAACGAGTGTGAGTATCAACATGCCAATTAACAACTAGGTCCAGTAGTTGTAGGCAACACTTTAAAACCAATAAAATACATAAATATATGGAAAACGAGGATAAGGACAAGCTGCAGACGATTCATCTTTGACACACTATCAACGAGATATCGGGACATAAAACAGAATTACGACGGATTTCATTAAGAGCAGACTAAATATGAATCTGTCTTCCGTAGGTAGAAAAGGCATCAGGCAAGACGGGATGAACTGGGTGTCGAGTACCCGAGAAAACCCGGAGCCAAAATTTTTAGCAATCGCCATTGTTTGTTGGCTAGAAAACCAACGGTGGGTTTGTATTTTTTCTGCAGTTAGAGATGTGCTTCAGTAATCTTCCTACAAGGCAGATGTTTTCAAGGATACCGAGTTCCTTGTTACCCTCAGTGAAAGTCACGGATCGCCCTAAGCAGATTCTGTTCAGCCCCACTTTTTGCAAGCAGCTCCAGCAATGCCACCAAGCGCGTTTGTACAATCCAAAAGCAACTGAGTAAGAGCAAGTCCGTGGACGGGCAAACTGGTATGAGTCTTCAGTAAGCAAGCAAGTCTGCATCACTCTGTCGAGCATTTTTAGAAGAGTAGATTTGCAAGCTAATGCTCAGGCTTTGTGGTTCCTTAGTGTCGTACCGATGTTATCCTTGCCATATCCCAACTGTCGACAATTTCCCATCACAAAGACATTGGTTGAACGAGTTCAGTGAGGACGTTAGCATATTCCTTGGGTGACATGGATGATAGAGGGTCTTGACCGCTAGCTCTATTAGGCTTAAGTCGTCTAAATAACCTATAACCCACATCATCTACTATGCTGACCATATCGTCACATTCTTAGTGGGCCGCACTCAATATAATGGAAAGGTTGAGGGTACCAAGAACTTTGCGACGAGCTTGCTAAGGTCAGTAGCTTGCGATGAACATTTGGCAACAGAGCCACATTAGTACCCGGGGGTATATTGCATTCATTAGTTTTATCTCCACTTCAGTCTGCTACGTCAAATTGCTAACCTCTAGGTAACCTTCAAAAGCCTCTGAAGATACTGAGAAACGCAGAAAAAAATATGCTTGTACATAAATTGTTTTCAAGGATAAACACAGATCAAGACAGAGACTAGGGTAGCTAGTCAAACGATCACGGTGTATGGAAGGACCGTGACCACAGAAAATGGAAAAGTCCGTGGTGGATATTATATACCTCAGCTAGCTGAGGGGATAATGTTCCCTTGCCAACAATTTCTTTGTTCAGGCTCATGAAAGTCTTGATTGTACTTGGAATACATCTTTGTAAGAAACGCCAGGAGAAATAGCCACAGAAACCCAGTGGAGCAAGCGAGCGCACGAAAAATATGATTTTGTTATTTGCAAAAATATAAGACAACTAGGCTTACGAAATTGTGAGGGAGTCAACGAGGTCAATAGGTGTAGGGAANAGCAAGGTTAAAGTGCGCAAAGAGATCGATCTAAGTATTTTACCAACGCCGTACAGAAAGACTGAAGAGGATGGTAAATGAAAGACAGAAGTGTAGGGGGAAGTGTGGTAGATCTGCGGGGACATGGGACTGATGGTCATCCAAGAACTAGGGCTCACATCTAACATCAGACACTTGATGGGGAAAAGCCTTGCTGCAAACCAGAACAGCAACAATTTCATTTTACGTAATTGACGACTCCTGTTATGGTAGCTGATGGGACAATTCATTTGGAGTAAACCGTAGCAACTCATCTGAACGGCTATGTCCAGATCACTGTGCAGCCAGCCTTGTGCTATTCTCTACGTTGCAATTATTTGGTCAAGTTATCCATCTTTCCAATCAATGGACGCACGTTACTGGAGACCAGTGATGGAACAGCATATCCACACTTCTTCGCTGGAGAGATACCAACAATCCAGTACGCTACTTTCCTCTTCCACTTATTACTTAAGAATGACGCATTTATAACGGATTCTCACGTTGCGATCGGGTGGTATTATCAGGGGGGGCAGAAGCATATAAAAATTTTAAGAAATCGCTCTTGTAGGTCACTACCATGACGTTGAAAAGTTATTAGTCCCGATTCACTGTAATTTTGTGAAACAAAGAAAAGTTCGGTTAATCTGGAAGACCTTCATTCAGATCCATTTGAAGGCTAAGTGGATCTCCATTTTTTCAGAAAAGCATGCTTACTCGCGCGGATGGAAATGTTGCGATATACTTCCCCTCTACTGCACTGACTTGGATGATTGTTTCATCTTGGCAAAAGCTGCGTGGAATGGTTTCGGAGTTCTTTATTCTGCCCGATACGCAGTCATCGGTGGAGAACAGACAAACTGCGCAGAAGTTTGGTGTATTGATTAACAAAGGGATGCACCAGTCACACATCCTTTCTTTCTCCAAACAGAACTGGAGTGCATCCAGAGTCATTGTATTGCAGTTCAGTTGTCACCATTCGAGGAGTGAAAACGCACTTCATCATACCGTATCTTGTCCGTCTAAGACGATCGTTTCATGACGGTCGAAAAAGTCTACGATTTCCAAATTTGTTGGTTCCATAGATATCAGTTACCACAGAACATACGATAAGTTGTATTCCAATCTGAACGGTCTTACCAACTATGATGTGATACAGGTTCAGAATTCTCGACTAGTACAGTGATAGGGGAGTTGATGCATCGGTAGAACACTTACCCTCATCCACGTTGTACAGTTTTCGGGTGAAAACTCTAGGAACTTCTCGTACAACTTTCGGCATCGATCAAATTCGCGCAGTTGAATCTCCAATTCAATGTATCCACGAAACAATTTGTCTTTTGGACACATACCGATAGCAGCACCCTGGAGGTTTGAAAGGCGATACAGTTATGGACTTATATAGCCAGTGAAATGGCGAGCACATGTGATAAACAAGTCAGTGTGCGGTTCATGATACAGTGTTTCATATTATATTGGAGAAAACTGGATGACTGAAGCAAAATCAGCTAGTCATCAGGGTTCTGTTCAACCAGAATGACAGAAAACAAGAAGCCGCTTAGGAAATTGACTTCCTCACATTACTAGGTGATCCAACTAAATTCTTAGCAAAGCTGAATTGGCATGCGACACGTTGTACTACGGCTTCTCTCTGAGTTTGACGGCGTGAGTTAGTGAAAATCATAATACTTTCACGTTCACATCGCCCTCGTTTGAACAGTCCTTGTGTCCTGGCGCAATTATTCTGGTGAGTCCACAGCAATAAGGGGGAAAAGCACCAGAATAACTGCCCCAGGACAGAAGTTGAACTGTTAAAACGTGTTATGAACGTGAATGCTACGAATCTCGCATACAATATAACAATTTCGAATTGAAGATTAGACTAACGGACAGTTGTTTCAGATACAACTATGCATCCATGCTTGACGCATTGTTGCCCAGATGGACGCTAGGCGGTCTCTAATTATTCCTTCTTGGTGTTCAAATCGATACTGGCGAGGACTTCGTCAATTTGAAATAGAGGCAACACTATTCGTGGATTAGAGCAGAGGCGAGATAGATCAGTGGTTAGAGCATCGGTGTTGAACACTAATGTCATGCTGTCGATGATGGTGATGATGATGATGAGTGGTTAGAGCGCGCATCTACTGACCAGAAGGTCTCTGGTTCGAACCCAACCTCCGCCTCTCGATTTCCCCTAGCTAGGCTTGGGTGATCTGGCAGTATCCCAGCCCTCGTGCTTCCTTCTGGTGGCAAGGCAGTTAAGCACCGAAAGGACGCCACAGCTGAACGGAGTAGTTGGACGTGAATCCAGAGATCATGATTCATTTCCACACTATCACTATCCACCTATTTGCATATAACTGGTGCAAGCTATGCGGTCATACGGTTTTGAAATGTGACTTGGACGGGTGATCTGAGGCGTCTCTGGATCATGCACCACATGTTATGGAAACTAGTACAATAAAATTTTCAACGAGACAGACAGAATATATGTTTGGTGGTATCTAACTTGAATAATCTAACCTGCAACGTTGAGTGCACTGGCTAAACTATGTATTGTTTCCGCGCTACATTCCAAGTGAAGCATGCTCCCCAAACCCTAGTAAAGGACAAGATGGAATAACAGGCGAGTGACCCATTGTCGACCAAATTAGTCAAAGTTAACATGGGGTCTCAACAGTTGTATGCACCTGTTTGGTCTATAAAAGTTAGGATTTACGAATTTCTCGGGACCGAAATTAAAAAAAAACGCAGCGCGTGAAGTATACAAGAATTCCGTTGGATGTGTCGGCGAGCCAAAACAATTCAACTTACCAGTAGCTTTCTAGCGTCTGTGAGGGCTTTCTGACGAATCTCAAACTTCGCTGCGTAAAGCCACATTTTTGCGAATGTGAATCGGCGGTGAGGGATCAACTTGAGACAAAACCGATATACTTGACGGGCCCGTTCCATATTTTCGACGGTAAGCTCCTCGTACAGGGCGTAGTTGAGCCATAGGTAGATATAGCGCCTCCAGTAACGCTTTTCCTGAAATATAAAGCAATACAATCAACAACTAGCGAATATATCGAAGTACTGGGTGTTCGAGGAACATGAATCAATTTCGGTTTGCATGTACTGAACTGAACTGTCATACTTGTAAGTTCGAAGATCAGAATACATGCTGAAGCGTCTAAGTGGAATATCACATAAGAGACTTGATAGGTGTTGATCTAATTGTGTGCTGTCCCGGGAACCGGGACATCGCAGTTATCAGAACTTGTCAAAATCAACAGCTAAAAAGGAATTAAGGCTGGATGTTTGAATGAACTTACACTCGTGGACAATAGAAAGCAACATATTACCATCAGTATCCTGAACAATTGCTCTGTTCATACAGCCCATATTTAGAAACTGTGACTACTTGGGATTGATTCGAGGCACCCGAAGACAGTGGATTGCTTATCCAAAAAGACAAACAAATAACTTCATTGTCTTATGTATACCGTTACAGTCTAGAGTCTAGTAAGTTCCACTGACAACCCGCTTGACAGGGCTGCGAGTGTACACAACAACCCAAGGCCCAGTCCTGCGAATAAATCCCATGTTGTTACCAGAATATTTCCTTCCCTNCCCATGTTGTTACCAGAATATTTCCCTACACGAGGCGGAACTATCTGCATTAGTCCCACTGACTCACCCAGCCAACACATTTATTGAACATTTGGCCATGGTCCATGCTGTTCGAACAATGACACACAAGTGAGATCTGTGGACTTCAGCCATCGATCTAAGGCAAATAGGCCTTTATTACCACACACGACAACAATGTACTCTAATTCGTGCGAGCTCTCGGACTAACACAGCAGCGGAAATCAGGAGTTCTTGAAGCTACATACAGGTCCAAATCTGCATCTGAAAAAAACGTACAAATCACTGTTGTTAAGACGATTCTCAAGGGCACTACATGATGAACCGGAAAACAACTAAGCTACCCGGACATCAGTGGTTATACCGTTGATAGCAAATATGAAGAAACACAGCAGAAAACAGAACAAGGCTCAAGACGGCCGTCCAGCTGCCACAGTGGCTAGCTTACGTATCAAAATCCGGTGCCCGAAGGACTTCGGACTTCCCTATGGAAAACACTATAGTCCGAGCCTTCACGGAGAATGTGCAGATAAACGGTTCGAAACGATATCATCGCTGGTTGGCCTGCCGGAGCCAACCGCAATAACTTCTGGACACAGAAGGTTACTTCCGTGGTACAAGCAGAAACTGCAGTGGACTTTAGGGTACACTTTAGTTTCATATACTTAACTCCAGAACTAAATTGATCTATCCGATATTTCCAAGTAGATGCAATATTGATGGGGACATCAAAGCAATAAGCAGGCACCAAAACTACTGAGCTATCTCGAGCTCGACAGGATAATCAAACGAAATGATACAAGTGACGGTGCTGCAGGTAAACGGATTTCCAGTTCGAAAGAGACATACTGGCTCGATATTCCCTACCTCATTTTTCGTGTTGTATGCATCATCCTTGAATAAGCTGATCCGGTGGTGGTGTTCACACGTATCTAACTATTCACCATTCGGAGCTCCTAATAATATGCACTCGGACATCCTGATGAATATGGTTATCCTTGACCAGGAAGAGCGCGGGTGAAACATTCACCTTCAAAACCGATTACATCCTACATGCCTGACCACAAGATTCAAGCCCAGCCACTTTCTGTATCAGTTTCACTCTACCAGCACAAGGTTTCCATAGCTAAGTTAGATCATCATTGGGGTTATCGAACTGAAGAAGAGCGGCAAATGAGGCGCCGTTGGGAGACGACTTGGGACAAATGATCGCTACATCCACAGGATTGGGGGTTGGCACGACAAATACGCATTAGAAAAAATTAATTCACGCACTGTTCAAGCAGAAATCGAATTCAGAGAGACCAAAGAATGCCTCACGAAAAAGTTTAAAATCAGCCTGGTGAGCGAAAACTATGGATGGCTTTCAAGAGTCGAGAATGATTGAAGTTAGAGGTCTACGATCAGTAGTACCTAATAGAGGCACAGGCACTTCTACGTAGAGCTGGTAGCGGAGGCCTTTACGATCCAGGAAAGCTAAGGACAGTAATTCAAAATTTTCAACTCTATTGCCTGGGGGACGCCCACAAAAGTCTCGACATAGGAACTTTGTCATTGTCATGTTTTGGTTGCTTTTGTCGTTTGGCAGATAAGTTTAAGCCTAACTGAACAGGAACACGGTCGATGTAGATTGACCGGACCCCGGTTGTATTCAGAACGGAATGGAGATTGCACTAACCTATGCTTCGAATCCGCCCCAAATTACTGGGTTTGGATTGCTGCTGTTGAACAAAGTAGTAAAAGTAGATAACCATGAAGCTATCGTAAGGTGAAACAGAGTCCGAGACAGCCACCGAGACTCCCAAATGTCCATAAAAAAGCTTAATGCTATGGCAGTTCACGACTACAACCGATAGAGCTGATTTCAGTTGAAAATAAAATAAAGGAAAAGTTGCTCATTTGAGAGCCTACCAACTCCGGTACATTGAACACAACTGCGCCGTTACGGATCAACCTACGGTCCTGCTGAGCAGTAATCCGGAGCAAAAGGGACACTCGAATTCGTGTTACTAGTTGTATGCTTGATTCACCATCAGGGTGCGGTACAGATGCCGTGTAGTGTTCTCGAGAACGATGCAACCGCATAGTGTTCCACAGATTTTTTCGCTTTACTTTAAAGCAAATTTCGATAAGCGCCAAACTACCAACCCTGAGACTGCTTTCCGCAGTTAAATATATCTCAGAAAATGTTGATAGCTCAGGTATCATAGATGGTGGTCGTTGGCTTCTTCGCTGAGCTAGGCAATTTGATTGCAAACGTTTCATCACCAATCGAGGTGACATCATCAGTGCGTTATTGTGGAGCGTAGTAGTGCGTAGCGGTAGCACAACCACCAACCCACCGCTACGCACTACTACGCTCCACAATAACGCACTGATGATGTCACCTCGATTGGTGATGAAACGTTTGCAATCAAATTGCCCAGCTCAGCGAACAAGCCAACGACCACCATATCTCAGAAAACCTATCATCGAGATGAATCTGTGTCCTGGAGCACGTCATAAGCGCGTCAGTGCTATTTAAGCATGACTTTATCGTAACTCATTAATAACTACCTTGTATCACTTGCTACGACCCCTAAGCATGAAACAGAAAGTTTCAGAATATGCATTCACAGAGAAGTAGATTACGCAAAACTCACCTTGATCGGTGGTACGTTCGCAACTGCTCGTTCGTAAATTTCCCGCGTCTGATCTACGGATCCTTCCTCCTCCATTAAACGCACGTAATCAAACCAAACATCGTAGTTATGGGGATTCGCTTGTACCTCCTACAGACGACGAACAAAAAGTGACTGATAAAACACAATTATGAGAATAGGGATCCGAAAATCGGGCATTGGGACTACGTAAGCTAGGCGATGAAACGCTTCGAATGTATAAATCGCTCACTGCAACTAAGGGGCAACTGCTTGTAAAAAGCGCAGTGCGTGGATCATCTGTGCTTCATTTTCTGAGCGACGACCAATGGCGAAAGCTATAAAGTTTAAGACTGATCTGAACCTCGTATTCTGCATACACAATGGGCGATGAAATCTAACGAAGAGCCTCAAAAAACGAATGCTATGTTATGGGGCCCATTGTAGGGCCGGATTGAGTAAAATTTGAGGTAAAGATGACAGTTACCGAAAGGCCTGCACAACTTCTAGAGGAATGTTAATCCTACCTCTTCATATTGAAACTTTCTCTTGCTGAGAATCACGTCTTCGATGGCAAGTCGGTCTCCGTATTTCTTCTCATGAAGTGTATAGGCTTTGTAGATCTCTTGGCACTCCTCTTTCGGCAAGTTATCCAGAGCGTACTTGTAAATCACACGAGCTCGTTCATGCTGTAATGCAAGATACGACAGTCGGACATTGAGGGAAGGGAAAAGAAGACTGCGGCATGAATCACGAGTAAACAATAACCAATAGATGAGAAACTCAACAGGTACATGAGAGCAGCACGATTGGTTCTGTAGCACGTGAGTTCATTCCCTAAGGATCAAACGAAGTCTTACGAGTGGTTAAGGTATGAGATAATACAGAAACCTACGGAGGTTGCATCACGAAATACTTGGCATGCTTGAGAGTCCTGATAATAAGGCAGACTACTACAACCCAACAAAATGAACAGTAATCTAGAGAAATACAATATCGGCCTCTAACGTCCGAAACGGAACGTACAATTGGAACAAAAGTGGGGCTGGTCGGACAACATTACTCGTATTAGCCAACACGAATAGAGAGTGCAAAGGAGAAAAACAGAAAGTTACGTTTAAACACAGTGTGAAACGTACCTCTTTCTGTCGCTCCTCGAAACGAGCGAACTCTATCAGAAGTCTGGCCTGAGGATTGTCTGTTCCGAAGAATTCCACAGCCCTTTCGAAAACTTGGCGGCAAGAATTTACAAATCCATTCCGTTCTTCAAACTTTGCGTACTTCACCCAGTTCCTTGGCTCGGGATGAACGAGGACAAGTATACTTCGGTTAAGGAAACAGACTTTATGTGCGTTCCGTAAAGGTTAGAGATAAATTCATCACTCAAAGTGCACCGTCCTGTCTTCGCTCCCTCATAGTACACTACGAAAAAGCTGGACTACCTAGCAACACTCAGTTAAAGTTGCGTGTTATAGATGACAAGTTCTGGCTTGACACTAAAAAGATTTCGGTTGCATTGTGCATCACCGTATTCCCAAAGTATTGACGCCTGGTGAATTAGTACAACTGATCCAAATGCCACTACCACATGTAGGTCATACAATAACTGATTGTGAGTACAGCACCGCAAAGGTTCTCTATTGTAACAGTGTTAAAAACTTGATCAGCCTGAGGAAATGTATGATTTGGTGAGCATATGACCAAACCTATCAACACACTAGGCAATGTGATCATACAACTACAGACGTAGAAAAGGATATATCGTTCGTAAATCATTCGAGCTTGGTCCAACTCTTTGTAGCGCAATTCGAAATTGATGTAGGCATGCCACGCTTGCTCCTCTGGTTGCCACTCCATCCACCGTTCAAACACTTGCCTGGCTCCTGCAATATTACCCAGCATTTCCTCCATGTAGGTGTACTTGTACCAGAACTGATTGGCTCGTGGCATGAGGACAACAGCACGATCCCACAAATTGCGTGCATGGTTGACTTGTTTGTTTCGCATTTCCATCTCTGCGTATTTGAGCCATAATCCGACATTTCGATAGTCCACATCTAATGCACGTTCAAAGATGGATCGGGCACTGCCGTAAGGGAAGAAAGTGTACGTGTGTAAGGGAGTGGGAGGCGTACGGGTGAAACCTGAAAGAGGCTCGAATGTACAGAAGATAAGAATCGACGATCACGTGTTACAGGTGCCTAATTTGCCTACCAAGAAGCCTAGTCGGGAGGAACCCATTTGCAATATGCACGAACGATGAGGCGGTTAGCAAACTATGGAAAGAACGCCTATGTAATCGACTAAACGACCAGTGCATGTCTGACAATGAATACAACATAGCAGACCTGAAGCTATTTGGTCTGCGTCCATGGGGCGGCTTTCAATACCAAATGTTAAATGAAATTCATAAATCCCAGGCAAACAGCTAATTGAGCTGCCATGGCATAGAAGAACAAGGAAAACTGTAAAAAATCGTTCATCCGCAGCACCATTTCGGTGCCTAACTGTCATGCCATTGGAATGAAGCACGAAGACTGGGATACTGCCAAGTTTCCCAAGCCTACACAGGGAAAGTCCAGAGACAGAGGCCGGGTTAGAACCACGGACTTTCCAGTCAGTAAATTTGAGCTCTGGCCACTGAGCTGTCTCGTCTCCAGGCAGACTGAAAACAAGACGAATAAGTATGTTAGGCTTGCTTGTCAAAAAGATACGGCCGAAGCGACCGATTCTTATCTACCCGTGTTCTTAGAGATAGCAGTATTCCTATAAACTTTCGAACGCCGTACACTTCGTACAGAACAAAAATTCAGCTCATGAAATACAGTGAGAAGGGGGTCACACGGTTAGATGCATTCGGTCATATCTCGCAAAACAGAAAGCATCTTTTCGAAAAAGTTTGGTGACAATCGGTAGATTTATTGCTGGGCAACGTTTCGCTTTTGACACAAAAGCTTCGTCAGGCCAAGTGACTAGGTTCCGAGGTTGATCGAGATTTAAGGCGGAAGGAGAACCAATCAGCTAAGTCAAGCTAAATCTCTGTTGGGTGTCGGCCGAGGGATTTTAGTGTGTTAGAGTGGTTGAACAAGGGTTGGGTCGGTGAGGAAACCTACATGTGTTTGGGTCCTGCCTAGGGTCTAGTTCTTCTGGTTCGGTTCATTTAATGGTTCCTCTTGAACTTCATTTGAACCTTCTGTTAGTCTGTGTGGGTGAGCTAGTGCTAAGAAAGTTGTGTAGGAGGGATGCTGTGACCTTTGGTCCTGTGACTTTCACTGCCTTCAGGTTTGGAAATACCAATCCCAGTTGATACGGCTAGATCTCATACCGTCAGTGAACTGTAGATGGCTCAAAAGGCGAAGTATTTCACAGGTTGAGTGGATGTTCCAACTTGGAGGAGCTAGTCAACAAGCGAATGCGTGACATGAAGGATAGACGACGCCATTTGCTGTTCAAGTACGAGTCAATCACACTGCTTATCAGCCGCTCCTAGCCGAACGGTCATGTTAGACTGCTGATAGAAAAGTTGCGGGTAAGAAACTGCCTGGAGTTGGTAATGGCCTCCTAATAATGATGAAACAACTGTACGGTTTTTCGGTGTAGATGGGCCTCACTAGCATGTGAAAATTTTAATTGAAATACAAGCACCACAGCGGTGCGACGAAATGAGCTTCACTCAATTGTGGCACGCCTAAATGTGAAAAGCACTTACCGTTGAATTTCGCCTTGGCTCTCCTCGAATTTCGCATACTTAATCCAATTCTGCATTGCCAGTCTGTTTTTCCGAATATTGTCTTCATAGTCCTTTCGTTTGCGCAGTTGAAAATCTCTGAGCTCTGAAAGACTTGTGATTTTCTGTTGGGGCGCCTTTGGTGTTACTTCAAGTTCTCTTTCCTTTGCTTCACGAAGCAATTGTTCAGCTGTGATTTGAATGGCAGCTGGCATTTTGTTTTTTACCTAAGGAAGGAATTTCAATACGAGGTTGACAGGATTATTACCCTGGCAATCTTTGTTCGTTTTGGCTTTGGAGCCTGTGCACCAGAATCCTCAGTTGGTCGAGCCTCCATTGCGAAAAAGAACTAATGTAATATTTGTATCACTGGCTTTGAGGAATGAGTCGTTGGCAATTGGAGTGCTGCTGGAAAATAGAATGGAAAATTTCAAATGTTTAAGACCCAAATACACCATAGTATCAAGATGAAGTGAGGAAGAAACTGACTTTGACGCAAAAACGTCGGGTACATGTAGTACGCAACGGGAATACCCACGGATGGCGGTGGCTAGATCGGTGCTGACTATGTCGTAGTTACCTGTCTAAAGTGTAGAAAAGTTCTGCTTCCTCGCAAAAGCCTAAGTGACACCCACGAGTACTATGCGTGTTGGTAGTGCACACCAAAAAGTGCATAACAGGAAGCGACAAACGTGTCTGCGCGATCTGTTTACATGTAACATCTACGGAAGTGTGGTCATCAAGTTGAATACATCCATCACAAAGACAGATGGAAGGCGTCAGCAGAAGCCAGTTTTGACTTGCCCCACTTTGTGCGCAGAGGACAAGATTACCGGTTGGTGATATTACGCGACGTAGCGTAGACACTGGCTGATTACACCGAATATAAATTTACAATCGACACATTACGAAAGTTATGTCCGCCCCAGAAACGTTGTATATACAAGCTACCAGCTACAAACCTACAATCAAAAGGACGGACAAGATACTAATTCATTCGTACGAAAACTGAAATAATTATCGAGTTTAGATCAGTATCTGCAATTGAATATCAAGATGATTGCATGTGTGATGCTATAACCAACGGCCTGGCGGTTTTTTCCATCTGCGAAAAACTTCTAGAACAGCGAGAACTCGCTCTGGACTATGCACATCAACTTGCTAGATTCCTCGAGTTGGCCCACAAACAGTGGTAATTATATGGTAGCAACGAACCTATATCCTGCTCTACGATTCCACCCACCACACAGAATCCTGAGTCTGTGAAATCCGTAAAAATATGTTATTGCTGCGGTTATGATAGACATCCTTGTTCAAACAGCGAGGTGGCCCAAGTGGTTAGAGCGCGAATTTACTGACCGAAAGGTTCGTGGTTCGAATCCGACCTCCGCCACTCGACTTTCCCTGTCTAGGCTTGGGCAACTGGCAGTATCCCATCCCTCGTGCTTCCTTTGGGGGGCATGGCGGCTAGGCACCGAAATGGTGCTACAGATGAGCGCTTCCAAAGAGCCCCGCTTGAGAAGCCGTTTGTAATCATTAAAGTACAAGCGATAGCTTCCACCGACAAGTTCCATGCAGCTTGTACAATCCCTACGAGGCCAAACAGTGAAAAGTTCAAGTAAGGACAGAGAGCTTTGGTGGACAATGAAAGCACAGAAAATGGGGAAGACTTCGGCCACCGGAAACGGCCATGCCCTTATAACAGTTGCAATTTCCTGTTTTCCAAACGTTTCATCGCTCATTGCAAAATCACTTTTTTCTCGTTCAAGCTCTGAGTGTCGATGTTTTGGATGAATAAACCCGAGCTTCCGGGCCCTCAGTCTTTCCCATTCTTATTCTGATTGCCGCTGCACTCCATCACTCACAGAACACAGCTTATTCATCCAAAAATTTTCATCGAACAGATCGATTCTCAGGTCCCGGACGAATCGATACCAAGCCCAAGCTGAGCTGAGACACCTTCAGGTGTTCGACAATCGTTGTCTCAAAACCGTTGCTCGTGTCGGCGTACCCATAACGAGGCAACCGGGTTTTCGATTGTGCAGTGCATACTCCCACTGAACAATATGTCCTATGCCAGAAGCTGAGTTGGTTGGGACATGTGTTGCTTATGCCTACCCATCGTTTGCCGAACAGGGTGCTGTTTTCCATGCCCAACTCAGAAGGGCGGAGGCAGAGAGATGGTCACACCTTGGCCTGACAGAAGGTTCCCGACCTAAAGCTGCCACCTTGACGTGGTGGTCGGGCTTGAGTGTTGCAATGACCCCGCGGGCCACCCTGGCTGGAACGTCTTTCCACAAGGTGCAACCCATGCCACGAGGCCAAAGGTGAGCAGCCAGACCCCATACTACGAGTAATCGTGCTACGAGGCGGTCTGGGGGTAAGGTCGTACTGTCCTCTGCGACAGGAGTGTGAAGGCAGTAAGGTGTATCCCCCAGTCGACCAGCATGTCCATATTTATGCAAGCAGCGATGCTGCCTTCCCCCGAGGAAGGACGGGTTAGAAAAGGTCGGCCCCAAAAACCGCACACTCCGATCGCCCAACGGTTGACCG